TGCCACAAAATATTACGGGTTCATGAGGCAGCCAGTGCTCTGCTAATAATTAGAATACATTACCACTTTGATGAGGCATTTACACAAAACTGCAGAACCCTCTCGGAACTGCCGAGATGCTCCCAGCACCCCCATTAGAATATGTCAGAGGCTTTTCTTTATGCTATAGATCGTGCGGCATAAATCGCACCTTTTGCCGAACTCCAGGTACTCTACACACCGCAGAACGTACACACCGTCACCTCCTGGTCCCCCTCCAACGCCCCGGGGTGCAGACGCTTCCAGCTCAGCACAGCCAGTGCCTTCATGGGCAGGAGGGGTTAACGAGTCTCGCTCGGAGGGTCTGTAGAGACAACGGCCATGCAGTAGGTGTGATGGACCCTTCCCCACGGGAGGGGCAGGGGGTCTGGCTGTGACTGCGGACCCAGGGTGCAAGCTCTGCAGTTGGTCCCTGGGAGATGGCCCCAGGGGATGGACGGGCAGAGGGCACAGGGTCCGCGGAGAGTTAATGAACAGTGCTTGCAGCAACGGAGGTGTCCGTATCTCCCCTCTGACCTCTGGTCCCTCCATCCCTCCAGCACAGCTTTGCGGCCCCCTCCACCTTGTTTCCCAGCTTCTTGCCTACTACAACCTCTGCTCCTAGCACTCACCTCCCTCATATCTCACCTTCTACAGCCCAGTCCATCCTGCTGGTCCCTTCGTGCAGACCCTCCACCAGCCACCCCACCTCCTCCTATTCCCCAGCCAGGCTTCCAGCCCCCTCAGCCCCACCCCAGCTGTATTTCCCCCACTTCATCACTCCTCCTCTTCAGGCCCCATGGTCCCACTGTCAGAGCGTCATGGATGCTCGGCTCTCTGGGGTGGCCCTCTTCTCTCCTGGGGTGGTCGGATACCAGCAAAGGCAGTAGGAATTCCCCTTCCCCCTGCTCCCAGCTGCTGCAGTGTCCTCTGGGCCTCTCCCAAACGCCTGTGTGGAAAGTGGGGATCCAGAGCGTAGGGTCCAATCCTGGCTGGAGCCCTCGGTGACAGGGGTGACAGAGTGGGGCTTTCCTCTCACAGCTGACGCAGTCAGGACAGCCCACGGACACACCACCTCTCTGCTGACTAAGCAGGTATCGCTACGCCTACCATGAGCAAAGGCTTAGAGCCCTCATTTCCACGCAAACTGGCCTGGGACATGTGTTACTCTTGGGTTTTTGGTGGAAGAGGAAATAAGCCTGCTACGTACGCGCTCGCTTATCCCAAGGGCTGGGGAGCAGCTGCGTCTCTGCACAGGCTGCTCACTGAACCCAGCTTTCGGATCACCCCAAAACCACAACCTTCTGCACCAAAGGGTGTCCAGCCCAGCACCCTAGCGCAGCCACCCCAGATCACCCCAGCAACGCAGCTGGCCGCCCAGCAATGACACCGTGCAGGGAGCTGAGGCGTTCGGCGGAGAAATAGATTTAAGCGTTGTCACACCTTGAAGGAGCAATTACCGATGACAGGCGCTGCAGCAATGAGCTGTGAAGTTAGGACAAATGCCCCAGCAGCACCCCTCTAACAAATAACCAGAAGGTGAGAACGCAGCGAGGAAGCACCAGCTGAATAAGGGAAACGTGCCTGTGTCTCTGGAAAACATCTTTCACACTGCTGGGTTCATGATGGTGTTGGTTTTTCTTAATGCCATTCGAAGCCAACAGCACCGGCCCTCGGGAGCGGCACATCTCCGCCGAGCAGCTGGCAGCAGGCGCCGGGCTCTGCTCGTTGCTGTCTGCCAGGCTCACACCCACCCCAGCACCGGGACGCCCGGGCAGGGGGGAACCGACGCTGCGCAGAGGAAGGGATGGACTGGCTGATGCAGGGAATAAAAACAGGGAGGGAATAAACGGCCAGGGCAGGACAGAGCTCAGAGAAGGCCAAGGCTGCAAAGCCGAGAGATCCCGCAGCCAGTTTCATCTCGGCAGGTGGCTTCACACTGCTGTGAATGAACGGAGTCTGGGATGCATTGCCTGCTGACAGCAGGAGCTGCCTGCGGCGAGCGGTGGGAAGGAGAGAGGGGGTCCTCACGCAGGAGCACGTCCCCACTGCAGCTGCCCTTGCAGGGAAGCGATGGGGCTGGAGGGGACTGCGGAGAGGGACCAGGGCACAAGAAAGTGCAGCTATGGGGATCCCAGCAGCAGAAGGGGCGTCATCCCCATCCACCACCGTGGTACGTGAAGGGGTCGGTGGGAGCCTGGCACTGCGCGGTCGTCCTTGGCCCAGCCCTGAAGCCTGGCAGGTTTTGGAGACCACGCCGAGGGTCTACCACCCCTCTGCTCCTGCCACGGTGCGAGGGGCTGCGCAGCACGACATCTCCCAAAGGGCTGCCAGTCCCTGCAGCCTCGTGAGGGCAGCTGGAGTGGGACCCACAGCCAGAGGAGATGGCAGCCGCACGACTGTGACCCCAGCGATGGCGGTCAGGGCAGAAGATATGCAAGGGCTCGAGCAGGCTGGACTCGTCACCTCCCTGAACCATGGAGGGGTCAGGACCGAAATAAACCCTATGGGGCACATCTGAAGGGAATATGAACTCAGCACTGAGTCATGGGGTGTAACTTTGCCACTGCTAGGGCAGGGACAATCCTCTTCAAGGGGTGGGAGGTGGGCAAGCGGGTCTGCTGCAGCGCAGCCAGCCTGCCTTCAGTCTCTGGAGTGTGGCATTTCCCTCTCGTACCCACACAGGGCCTGCAGTTCTGCTTTTCATACCTTCACCTTGCTGAAGCTACATATCCTGCTGCCTTTTGTGCTACAGTTTGAGAGCAAACTATGTAGCATCGTCATTAGCAGTTGTGCCTCATGCAGAATTTTTTACCAGGTTCTTTAATTGCACGTTGTAAATGTACCACATGGGACTAATGATACCACAAGAAATTTTGAGTCAGAAGGAAACAATTGCACGATTGCCCTCTTAAAAGCAAGACGCCTCTCAGACACAGGAGTAGCACTATACCAAGACAAAAAAATTCCCAGACATTTAAGGTTTAGAAGAGCCCGTCTTTAGGAAGAGAGAAGTGCTTTATTTAGGATCAAAAAGGATGACCCCAGGGATCCTTACCAGAAGCAGTAAACTACATCATAAAAGTGAAATAACTTTTACCCAGGCTTGCAGAAAAAAGAAAGTCTTCCTTTCAAGAAAATTCTGTGCAGCTTAAAAATGACTCTTATTAAAATGAATCAATTTCATAAGCATGCTAACATCTTTATTCCTCAAATGTTAAGTAGAACATTTAGAACAGGAGAATCTATTGCGGAAGACCTTTCTTACATCTAAATTCATGTTTCTGCTTAAAGGTCAAAGCCTTTCTGGGTGTTTTTTCCTTGATAAGCTCCTTTAGAGTTGTTTATTTACAAATGATCTGCTTCCATATGTAAGCCTCATATAATAGCTCCTGTTGCTTTTGTTCTCAGTGCAGGAGATGGATGTGTGCAAGTGTAGCAAGGCCATTTGATGTTACAACTGGACCTCAAACAAGCAGTGTTTGAGCACTGCACGGAGAAGCAGCGAGCCCAGCCCTGGTCTACACAGTGCTGCGGATGCCTCACCGGCGCACAGAGCTGTGGCACAAGGCTGTGGCATGCGGGCAGCAGAAAGCCCCTCGGCCGTCTGGGGACCTTCCTCTGCTCGACAAAGATGCTCGTGTGGGGAGCGTGCTGCTGGCTTGGTACACATGCAGCAGGACAAGACTCATCGCCAAAGGTTTACATAGAAAGGACAATGATGCCTGTAATGAGTGATGATCGTTCCAATGCAAAACTCTCAAAGAATTAATTTTCTCAAATTGAGTAGTTATGCTGAAGAATCGTAGAGCAGAGATTTGACCCCAAGCAAAGCAAAATGTCAACTCCTTTTAATTCCTGGTGAACTCAAGGGATGCTTTAGAAAGTGGACAAAGTCAGAGGAAAAGTCACCACTCTGAAGGTGCTCTGGGACTGTCACATCACAGCAACAGAAGCTGTTCGGGTTACATGACACGCACACAGTTATGCTCCGTATCCATGAGCCATGCAAGGAGAGCCTCCATCTAGTGAAGGGACGACAGAAATCGTATTTTCCTTCCAGCTTATGCAGTTAATTTTTTTTTCAGGTAAGCTGTGGCTGGATAGCTAAACCAGAGGGTGGTGAACAAAGAGGAGTCCTGACACACCAGGTTTTCAAAGCGACACACCACATTATTTCTTCAGCACTGGGAGAAATAGGAAGTTGTAAATGTCCTGACAAGGAATCAGAGTTAATGTATTCTCATAATGAATTTAATGGGATAATGAAATGCTGTTGTAATTGAAGGTATTATCAGCTTCTCCTGTTAAATACCAACTTGCTTAGACCGTGTGTTCCTTGAGAAAAGATGTGAGCTAATCTTGGTAAACAGAGAGAAATAGTGGGATTTAGTTCGGATTTAGGACTCTCAGCAACCAGTCATTTGGTGGTTTTCAAGGCTACTCCTTCGAGTGACTTCTTTTAAGTAACAGATTTAAATGCTTTCTTTGATTGCATTGGATTTAGCTGAGATTGTTCAACTTTGCATATGCAGATACTATATATATTAAGTGAGATATGCTAAGAGGATTCTCCATCCCTTGAATTTGGCTATTGTGCCAATCTCTCAGCTCTTTGAATTGTCTAAAAAGCAAAAGGGAGAACTCACCAGCAGCTCTGGGAAAGGGTGGGATTTGTCCTCGGCACACAGGAGGAGAGGAGCCCTGCAGGTCCACATGGTCTCTGCCCAACCATCTCAATTGTCCTCTCTCAGCAGAAGTAACGGCTGCAGCCACTGTTTGCCATTTGTGTTCTGCCTCTCATATTCCCTCCTTTCCCTAATTATCAAACAGTCATGGTTAACAATTTCGATTATTGCACCTGCCTTCAGCTGTGATGGATAACAGGGACCAACTCACTGTCTTGATATTAGCAGAGGCATTCAGGGTTCCCTTGGCTGAATTTCAGCCTGTTGATCCCCTTGAGAGCTGGGCTAAGGGCAATGGCCCCTAGGGCGTCCACAGGTGGGATGGAGGGGGAGCCCTCCGATTTTGGCTTCGCTCCTCATCACACGCCTGTAGCCATAGACAGCTTTGCACTACGGGAGCAGGTAAGTGACACTGCATGATGAATTCCACCACCCAGTAAAACGGGGGGCAGTTCTGCATAACCACTTCCTACGTCTTTTGCCTGCATCCCCCAGTGCACCCGAGGAGGACAGTGACCTGCAGGTATGTTCTGAACCTCAGCATCTGAGTGAGGACAGCATGTGATGCAGGAGTCCCTCTAGCAACACGTTTAGAGTGAAAGATGTCCAGGTCAGAAGGGACGGTGAAGCTTCTAATGTCTGACCTTCTGTGCACACCACGAAGCTGCACACAGTGACTTCTGCCCCATCGCCTGAGGTGCACCTGGAGCACATCTCTTGGAGATATCCTGGCTCACTGCAAAGTATCTCACTGCCAGAGAACCTATCCTTTCCCTGAGTGCCCAAAGGTCTCCTCTAAGGCATGTGAGTGTTACACCTCAGACTTGGTTTTGTGCAGCGCAGGAGTTCTGGTCTTCTGAAGGAGGCTGCTGCAAAGTCTGCGGAGCATCGCAACTGGCTGGAGCAGCCATACTTTGCTCTTCCACTTTCCTGTGATGACGAGGACAAGGGGACATTGGATTGCCACGGGGACAGGTAGGCACGCTTGGCATGGTTTTGTTGGAAATGTGAGTAGGGCCAGTTGAGTTTGTGTCTCCAAGGACACTTTCTATAGGAGGTGATCTGGAGGCACAGACAAGGCTGAGACAAGGCAAGATTTACAGGCTGATTGAACAGCTGGCTGGAGACCTTTACAGAGGTCTCAGTTTCACCCTCAGAGGATGACTTCCTTCCTGAGATGATTTCCAGTGCAGCTGTGATAGAGTAGCACAGGCTCAGAGGATGCACCTGGAAAGTGAAGAAAAAGCAGGCTTTGTAAAAGAATTTAAAAGTGAAGACCAAGCACTGGGACTCTACGTGTCTGGCTCTCACAAGGACGTGCTGGTTTCTTACAGGGAGTTGATAGCAAAAGGATCACAGTAGACTCCCATGGCACCTTCTTCTCTATGCCTCAACACCTGGAGCCTGGGAGAAGTGGAGGGCTGGATGCACGGAGCATGGATATTGCTCCAGTGGGCTCCCCTGGCCCCTTCCAGCTTAACCAGCCTGCTGGTAACCAGGAGCTGCTGAGGCAGCTCGGGGATAAACGAGCTGCCTTGCACTTCTTTTACAGCTCTGTAATTATTCGCTTGGGTGGCAGTCATATGGGTCATTCACTAGAACCTGGGACTGGTCTATTATTCTCTCTTCAGTTTAACACCATGTTCTGCTAAATTATGGTATTTGCACAGGTCTTTGCTTTAAAAAAAAAAAAAAAAAAAAGTTGGAAGACCAGAGAGGTGCAGAAAAAAGCTACTAAGTTGATTTAAGGGCCAGGAAGAACACCTTCCATGCAGAGATTTAAAGGCTTCAAGCTAGTTAGCTTTTAAAAAAGAAGACTGAGAGGTGACTTCATTGTTGCATCTAAATATCTTCAGGGGGAGAAAATATCATGCAATAAAGGCTCGGTGATTCTGCTGTGAAAGGCAGAACAAGAGCTGGAAGCTGAAGCCAGCAACGTTCGAATTATAAATTAGACACTTTTTGAGAAGGATAGCATTTAACCACCACCGAAAGTGGCCTGAAGAGATCTTTCTGAAAGATGTGTTTCAGTCAAATCCGAGTCACTGGATGCACTACATGATGAACCTGGTGAAACGTAATGGCCTGTGATTTACAGGAAATCGGGTGCAATGATCTAATGCATCTCTCCAGCTTTACGCACTATGAATCTATTAAATAAAACCATCACAGAAGCTGCAAGCTGGCAACAAATTCCCTCTTCTTGACACACACCTGAAGATGAGGAGGCGGCTGGAGCTCTCCTGGAGGCGTTCACCACTCCTGGGAGAGACAGACAGATCATCACAATGTCCAGAAGAGGAGACTGGGGGAAAAAAAATCTTTTCTACCTTGTGTCAGCTCAGTGAAATTTGAGGCTGGTGAGTAGATGGCTAAGATCAAAGATCCTCAGGTGGGTTTTGGAGCTGCCACGGAGCCTGGCCCAGGGCAGGGCATGGAAGAGCCTTGGGTGGGCGGTGACCCAGCAATGCCGCAGTCCCGCTCGGGAGCCATCCTAGGGATGGAGACGAGGTGGAAGGACACAGGTGAGGCACCCAGTAACGCTGTTACCTTGGGGCTAACCCCGGTTTGGTGGTGGTCTCTCTGGGGACCGCCAGCTTGAAGGCTGACGCACACCCCACAACTCCCAGGGCGAGCGAGTGCCAGATCACTGCCTTTTAAAAAACACAACCTGAAGCAGCGGCACAGCGTCTCCTGCTAGCTCAAGGGCAGGCCCAGGGCTTGGCAAAGACTGACCCCCACCACCACGTCCCCTCTCCTCTTGCACCCTGGTGTGAAGAAGGCAGGCTAACTGAGCAAGCCCCTTCCCCGGGCAGGTGGCAGAGGATGTCCCTATTGACCCGTCCTCTGAGTTCTGCTTAGTATTCACAGCACAGCCCAATTATTTATAACAGAAATTTTTCATTTGGAGTTTCAAGGTATAACAAGGTGGTTATAAAACTGATTTAGGGATAGAGAAGTTTGATTATAAAGGGAAATTATTCAAAGGTTTCAATGGAAGGAATAAGTTGCTATGAAATAGTGGTCCTGTTACAGGGAAGATACGCGCTGAATAAAAAGCCATTTAACTGTTCCCTTGCCCCGCGCACAGCCGTCATGCTGGGCAGGAGGGCTGAGGTCTCCCAGGGGGAAGCCCCACGGTCCTGCTGCCTGCAAACCTGCAGCAGGGCAGGAGGGCGGGGAGAAAGGACCGTGGCTCCCAGGGAAGGCAAATCTGTGCATAGGGATCTGAAGTGTGGGTTACTGCGAGGGAGGGAACAATTGTATGAACTTTATGACACAGTGCTTTGCCTCAGAAATGGATGTAAAAGTGATGGAATGGCCCCTGGAAGCCGGCGTCAGAGCAGATAGAGAGCTCAGCCTCCTGGCAGATGGGATGGGAAGGAGTGGGCTGGGTTGCAAAGCCAGGAAAACTGATTTCTCACTGTTAGGGAACTTGGTTTTTTTCAAACCCTGGTGTACAGCCCTGGGTGCTCCTCCTAAAGGCAGAGGAGGCAAGAAAGCCATCCCTCCCCTCCTCACACTGCAGGTCCCTCTGCTCATACATGGCTTGGAGCAGTGGGATGGGTCGCTCGGTGACAGGGCTGGTGGGGTCTCTGAGACACGCAGTCCCCAGCCCACAAAGAGATCCCCACTGTCCCACAGCCATCTCCCAGCTGCAGCTCCCCGTGCCTCATTCCAGCTACACCAGTGCTGCAGGGTGCTTCACAAGTGACAGATCAGGCTTGTTTTACTCCATAAAACAAAGTTTAAAGATTCGTCATTAAATAAATTTTCCTTTTAACAAAAAAATATTGTTTGCTTTGCACTGCGCAAGGAATCAACATGCTGTTTTGCAGTGGTTTTCATTACTAACTTCCTGACACGGGTGAAGTCCTGCATAAAGGAGACCTCTGCCCCGCTGCTGGGAGAAGCCCTGCAGCACCCAAAGCCCTCACCTGGAGCACATTCATTCTGCAAGGCTGCGATGTGTTGGCTGTATCCTTGTCTCCTCGCAGCCTGTGGTCGTGTAGACCCTGTGTGATCGCTTCCAAGAGCACGAAGAGGCTCTCCAGGGCTGGTGGCAGAGCCAGCACTGGTGGTGAGCATGGAGATGCACCACGGCTCGGGATCACACGTCCCCAGACCCATGCAGCCTTTTCTGAGCCATGGGCGCCTGCCAAGGAGAAAAGCAGCTTGGTTCAGCTCAGCTCCTGTGACGTCCAATTCATTCAGCAGCTGCTCCTCTAGCCCCTTTCTCTGCGCAGAGCACTCCAGCTTCAGGTCTGTCCCTTGGACAGGAGTTTATCTTGGCAGCCTGGTCTCTGTCTGGCAGCTTCTGCAGCCGCAGTGACCACCTTCGCACCTGCCTGGCAGCTTCTGCAGCCGCTACGAGCACCTTCGCACGTGCCAGGATGGGACCGAGCAGCACCAGGGGACAGGAGGATGGGAGTCTGCAGGGGTGCAGGAGGAACTGGTGAGCAAGACAGTGAGCAGGACCAGGGGGTTTCAGCCCACCTAAGGGCTCCTGCTACTGGGAGTGGGCTCCAGAGTGCAGAGCAGGAGCAGGCGCAGGCGCAGACCACGGTCTGGGGAACACTGCTGCCAGGAGCAGCACTCCAGCTCCTTCAGATGCAGATAACTGCAGCCAGTGACTTCCCACTGGGAAAGGAGGCAGAGGATTCTTCAAAGAATAGAAGTCAGCAGGACTGTTATTAGACAGAGATGATAAAATTGCTAATAATGAGGCAGGGAAGACAGGAGCAGAAATATTTATGTGCTGTGTGGGAAGGAGCCTGAGGATGTGTTGGCGTACCACAAGAGTCGTGGAGTGTTTCCCTTCGCTGCTGCGGAAGGTTAAACACAATCTCTCGCTGAGAAGCCCTCCTAAACTAATAACACCAGACAAGGTACCCCCAGCGTATCGTGAGCTAACAAGGAGATATCTGGCCTTTATTAGTTTTGACTACATCAGAGACAACAGGGAGCTGAAGGAGATGGCGAGTACACTGACATTTTACTTTGCTGCGCCCCGTGAAGGAAAGCAGGTCTGTAATCCGAAATCAGTCACAGAAAATAATAGGAAAACCAACACAGGTTTCAGCTGATCAAGAACTGAATTACAGGATTAACACCAATCAATGTAATTGCATGGGGTAACTTGTTCATGGTGGGCTGCATGGAAAAGGACCAGATCCGTACCATTGCTCTGCAGATAAAATACAAGAACAGCACTAGGAACCAGCACAAGGTCTCTTTGCTGCTGGGCATACGGTGAGGTGAGGTGAGGCTCAATGTGATCCGACGTGTCCAGCACCAGCGGGCACTGGGGATGCTTCACTCGCTGGCGAACGGCATGGGAGCACAGCTGCAGCCAGAGCAGATCGTCAGTCTGCCCGTGACAGGTTCATCTGAGGGAAAGCACTGGCTGGGATCTTGACAAACAAACACTAAAGCTGGCTCTTCATATGAGACGAAAATTAAGGATATGATAAATTCACTTTTTAAAACAATCAGATCTCCAATTCCCGCTATTAAGCTCAATTGGAGAGACGATGAAGACTCAGGTTAATGTGACAGATCGGCCATTTTGTGGAAATAAGCACATTTATTTTAGCTGTGCTGTACAGGCAAAATTCACTTTAAATCACATAACATGGCAATTTGTCTTCATCATCCATTACCTGGGAGTTCGTAAGTGAAAATCTGTCATCAGAGGTGCAGCCTACACTTGTCTAAAAGTTCAGGACATCCAGCTGGCTTTGTGCCGCAGGGGTAAACGTGCTCTGTGAGGATGTCTAGCCCAGTGACACGCGTGCCGCTCTGTGCCAAGCACCCGGTGAGGGCAGGCAGCCTGCTCTGCTCACCTTCTGCCCCACATTACCTCTGCTGTGCCATCTCCCATGCCCGCTTGGTCCCCATCCACACAGGCTCAGAGAAGACATCCTCTCATGAGCATCAGCGCTGCAAAAGCCTACAGCTCTGACGGAGCCAGT